AGCATGCTCACCCCCTTGTTGCTTGTTCCATACCTGGGCGGTGCAGGCAGTAGGGGATGCAGGAGGCACGGGGCAGCGCTCAGTGCACAAAGCAGCACCCTCTGGTCATAAGGAAGAGAGCGGTGCACTGTGGCGCGGGGCTGGGCGTGCACGCGCACCTCGCGGTTGGGGCTTGGCACTTGTGGGGAGAGGACACGTGGGGGGTTACGGGCAGGACAGTGGAGGAAAGAGGAGCGGTACAGGTGAGCTCTGGGAGCTCTAAAGCTCTTGTGCATGGGGCTGTGTGGACTGGCTGAGTTTCTTTTATATGTATGTATTTTTTTTTAATATTTATTTACTTGTTTTGAAAGAGAGAGAGATCTGGGAAAGGGGGGCAGAGGGAGAGGGAGAATCTTGAGCAGACTCTGCACCAAGCATGGAGCCCGACGCGGGGCTCCCATCTCACGACCCTGAGATCATGAGCTGAGCCAAAACCAAGAGTCAGACACCTAACCAAATGCGCCTCCCAGGTGCCCCCTGCTGAGTTTCTGGGGGAGGTTGGTGCTGAGCGCATTGTAGTTTTTCTGCTCAGGCGACGAAAGAAAGTGGGTTCTCACTTCTCTGTCAGTCACGGGGAAACCACTGAAGGGTGGGGAAGGGTGGGACATTTTCTGTTCAGGAGGGTGGGCTGGGTAGGGACAGGCGGCTGAACTGAGGCAATGGGTAAGGAGCTGGGAACCAGCCCTGGGATGTCAGTGGCACCTAGAAAAGTGTGATTCATGTGGGTTACAGATAACGGTGAACCTCTAGGTGGAAAGATGTGTCCATTTGACCTCTGAGTTTACAGGTTAAGAGACCGTTGTTAGCTCTGTAATGAGTGGCTTTAGAACCTAGGTCTGTTTGGTTTTTTTGGGGACCTGATAACAGTCGAATTTGTTTCATGCATTGGTTGTCTTAATGAGGGGAAAACAGCCTTAGAAAAGGTTCTTAGGTCAGTAATGCATGCTCTTATTTGCTGATTATCGTGCTAACTGGAGCACCAGCTCTTCACAGGGAAGAGTTTTGTCCTTAGGAGCTTTTGTGAGCCTTGAGCCTCAACGCTGGCAGCTTACTCAGAGCAGACCTTGTGTGAGAGAGGAACGTGATGACCTTAACCTCTCATTAACAGTGCATTACGATTGTTCCCCGAGGACTGCTCCCTGAAGCCCGCTCAGATCCCAGCTAACTCAGCGCGGATGTGGTGATGCCCCTGCTGTGGGTTTCCCGCCTGAAACATGTCATAAGTGATTGCGCATTTCGGTGTTCTTAGGGAGGAAGCTCTTGGGGCTGTGGATGAGGTGAGGTTGGCGATGCTGCTTAGGCGTTCCCGGTTGATAAGGTTTGAAAGTTGAGTCTGTTGAAACTGTGATTTACCCGTGGCCACTCTTAGACCATCTGTGGATGAAATGAAGTCAGTGATACTTTGCAGGAGATTCATAAAGCACTGACCATGCACCATGAGGTCTTTGAGGCAGGTTTGTTTCTCAGCTGCCTGCTGGCCCCGCCGTCCACTCCACGGGTCCCACGTGAGCCCGCCGTCTGTAGCAGGTGAGGAGGCTCTGGGTCCAGCATGGTGTCAGTGTGACGTTGGTTCAACGTGCTCGCTGTGACACCTGGGGGCTCCCCCAGGAGGGCTTTGTTGTCAGAGAGAACCAGTCAGAGGGCACTTGAAGTCTAAAGGGTTGTTTAAAAATACTGAACTCTCACCACATTTAAGACATGTATCCATTTGGAAATGCAGTGTCTCTCTCTATCTTTTTTAAGTAGGCTCCATGCCCAGCATGGAGCTTGTTGCCGGGCCTGAACTCATCATGACCCTGAGACCAAGACCTGAGCCAAGATCAAGAGTCAGACACCTAACTGAGCCACCCAGGCACCCCGGAAATGTAGTCTCTTGATCAAGACACAGGATAAAGCATTTCATAATCTGTAACAAGTACTCTAGTGCTCGTGTGATTTTAGCAAGTTTCATTTTTTAAAGTCATATGGTTAAAGCGGGATATCCACCCTCAGATCCTTAAAAACTCTGGCCTGTGAAAGTCATACTGAATTACATGCTGGCAGTTTATTTTCTGTGTGTCCATCCCTGGGTTCCATTGTTTGCTGTTAGGAAATTCATCAGAAGCTCATTTATTACGACAGCTGCTCAAAGTCACCGGCAGGGGGGCTCCAGGCGCCTCCAGTGGGCCACGTGGAAGACCGCAGACCTGGCACAAGCGATTTGCCCCATGTTCTGTATAGGGACAGTGGCAGTTGCTGGGATCTGCCTTTATGGTTGCTGGCTCTTGGGTGGGGCCTGGGGACATTTGCCTGGCTGGAGGCTTGGAGCATGAAGCTCCCACCCTGCTGGTGGCTCCAGGCTTGCTGCCCCCTGGGGGGACAGCTGTCCCTCACCCCTCACCCTGCCAGGGCAGTCAGGAGGGGCAGGAAGAAAGGGGGTCTGGTTCTAAAAAGACTGCAGGGTAACAAGACTCCTTGGCCACGGTGGAAGAGATAAAAATCCAGGAAAGTAAAGCCCAGTGATGGGCACATTTTCAAATTATTGTTCCCTTTGGAAAACTGGCCTCTGTTTTCTTCAGGACTCCCCAGGACCTCAAAATTAAGTAAGAGAAACAGGCTTCTAGAAAGTGAAGGGACATAAGGTACAGACACAAGAGGTGAAAGTCTCCACTTTCTAAATAGGAAAAGCTGAAGGGAACCTGGATTTCTTCGTGGTGCAGTTTGCTTTTGCTTTAGAAATTTTGTTTGTGCCAAGTAATTGGTTCTGCTGATTAAAAAGGAGTAAAATTAAATTGGTTCACTGTGGATTATATTATAGAACAGAACAATATGACCAATATTAGTGCATTGTTTTAATACGTGTGCAATTTGGTTATCATACACGTTTCCCCTGTGATTTTGTGAAGGCTGTTTTTATTTATCTGAGTTTCTTTACTCTACAGAGCTTTCCAGGAGTAGCATTAGCCACTGCCTTTTCCTCAGCGACCTGTGAGCAGCTGAGCCCGAGGGGCAGCTGCATGGGCAGGTGGCTCCATGTGGCAGAGTCGTGGCCCTCCTTCGGAGCCGTGTTTGTCGTGGGTCCCTGCCCTCCTGGGGTCTGACACACCGGGAGCGGCGTGCACAGGGACAGTGAAGCAGGCGTGGTCGCGGGTGCATCGGGAGCACCGCGCTCTGCGGCCTGGGGGGCCTCGCACCGCCGCAAGTCCTAGAGGGCACGCACATGTGTTCGCACCAGGGAGTGGACAGCCAGCTGGGCCCCACCCCTCATGTGTCCACTCCTGTGAGAAGGCAGGTACAGCTGCCATTGTGCGCAGTGTTCTGTTTCTGCATAGATGCAAAAGAACCAGATTTGTTTTTACTTATTTGTGTGGTTTTGTTGTTTTTCTGCACCTCACGAGGCTCAGCAGGTGTAGCGGTCTTCCTCCCTATGTGCACACACGCCGGCCTGCAGTCTGCAGGCCCAGTTGGCCCGGGCTGTGGGAGCGGCTTGTCTCCATCTTCTCTTGGAATTGGCTTACGAAATGAAACATTTCCATTATTCCTGGCCTGGGACAGCGTTAGAACAGATTTGCAAGGTAGCTGGCTGCCCTGGGTTTCCATGTGGCCGTGCCTGCCGTCTGAGGGAAGTGCTGGGTTCTCGCCAACAGCTCAAGTGTAACAGTGTGGTAGGTCCCAGATTGTATTTTGAAGAGGTACTTCCTGTAAAGAAGGTGCATTATAAACGTAGCCTCTAGTAGTACAGAAAACCAACACCCCGGAGTTGTTTTTGCCGATGTAAATGTTGCTTGAGCGTGAGGGAAGGAAGACAGTCTCCTGTTCAGTGTTTTCAATTCTGCCTGAAAGGGTTTTTCTGTCAGTGGAAAAGCTGAGGTGAATGTTTGCTGATGGCGTCACGGCAGGGTTTCTGGGCATGAGGTCATGTCTTATACAACATGGGGTCGTCACGGCCATGCTTATCTATCACAGTGCTGTTGTCTGAGTGCCAGACGTGTGTGCTCGGGGCCCGTAATACCCTGGCTTCCCCATGTATGATCCCCACGTAACCAGTGCTTTTTGCAGACACAGGAGCCCAGAGATTGTGCTGTTAGCTCCTCTGCTTCTGAGTGTCCCTGCGAGTGGAGTCATAGAGCCTGAGCCCTCTGTCCTGGGCGGGCACGTGGACGTGCACATAGGGACGGCCGCACGTCACCCTGGAAACTGCCGTTCCTGGGATCTTTTTTTTTTTTTTTTTTTAAGATTTTATTTATTTATTTGAGAGAGAGAGAGTGAAAGAGAGCCCAGGAGGGGGGAGGGTCAGAGGGAGCAGCAGACTCCATGCTCAGCAGGGAGCCCGATGCAGGACTCGATCCCGGGACTCCAGGATCATGACCTGAGCCGAAGGCAGTCATTTAACCAGCTGAGCCACCCAGGTGCCCGTGTCCCTGGGATCTTTATCAGCACTAGGCTTTAATGAGTTAACTGTGGTCAACCTCACACAATGTAGCCTATAACCACATAACAGGCAGGAGGTGCCTGTGTTTCCTTCTCAAGGTTGTTTTAGGGTGAGTCCTTGGCCCCTTTCTCTGGTACCTGGTCCCAGGGCTGGGCCTCAGGGTTTAAGGACACCCTGGTCTCGCATGGCACGGGGGTGTTGGCCCCTGAGCCTCCCCTGCCTCCCCAGCTCCCCACCCCTGCCTGGTACATAGAAGGTGCTCAGTAAATACCTATGAGGTGACTGCCCATAGGCTCCACCACTATTAAGTGATGGTATGTGAAAAGACTTCCAGAAGCAGCTACACACATGTTAAAGATAAAGCAAGTCAGGAGCAGCTTTGCTCTCGGAACAAAGTTTTGTGTTCCTTCACTTGCATTTCCTAAATTAGATTCGAGCTGTTCATGAGTAGTGCAGTTAGGCAACAAAAATACTTAGAACGACAAGAGGAAGTGACTACATGGGACCCGTCCTTCACAGGGAGCGCAGCCCTGCCCCTCCTCACTCCTGGTGGGTGCAGAGTGTGTCCCCTGCAGCATCTGCAGGCAGTCCCCCGGCGGCCTCTGCCAGCTGGAAGCTGTGTGCACAGCTGTCTGGGGAGCCCTGGGGGAAGTGGGGACAGGCGGGTGTGAGAGGCTGCCTCCATGCCCCCCATCCCCCCTTCCATGTGGGGCCTGGACCTCGAGAACAAGAGTGTGCTGCCCAAACCTGTTTCTAGATGAAAGCAGGACACAATAAAGTAGAATGACCGTGGCAGGTATTAGAGAGCAGTGGGGACAGAGGTGCAGATGGACTTAGTGGGGACACCTTCCAGAGAGGGCTCAGATCTGAGACCTGGCACCGGGCAGCCACCTCGTGTGAGTGTGCGTGCACGTGTGAGCGTGTGTGCGCATGTGGTGGGGAGAAAGTGAAAGAACCTAGATTAGCTAATCCTACAGAGATAAAATCTAATCAGTGCCTTTAAAACCTTTGCCACCAAAATGAATATGTTACAAAATAGATTTGTGTGTTTTTGCTTTTTTTGGCAGGGAAATGAACATTGTGGATTAACCAGTAGACACACAGCAGCCTGCTGGTTAAGGGCTTGTTTTGTGACCAACCTTGTCCTGTTTATCGGGGGCTGACGACTGCCAGCCTCTGATACTAGGGCTGAGGGGGCCTTGTGGTGGTGACAGCCGCCCGGTGTGCATGCCGCGTGTGCCGAGGCTTGGCCGGTGTGGGGCTAGATTGTGAGTCCGAGGACAGGGACTGTGTGGGTGCGTGTCTCAAAATATGGATGAGTACAAAGATGCATGTATTTATGTATACATGTGTATCTGTTTGCGCTTAATGGACTTTAAGTATTTTACACGTTTTAGATTTTTCCTTAGTATTTAAATGTTAAGATACTCAAATGTGAATGGAAGGGATTTTCCAGTAACAAAACATTAACTTTTTTGTAAGAAGACAGTTTTGGGGAGCTATCTTGACCTGCACCCTGCTCCAGCAGCCTGCTCCTGGGGTGGGAGTCCCAGGGTTCCGCGGCGGCGCACCTTTCCCTGCCTTGTCTGGGGCTGGGTGTGCGGAGCTGGCTGTCCTGTTGCTGACGCCCTGAGTGTCCAGGTGTCTGGCTGCCCATATTCTCCAGGACCCTGTGCAGGCAGGACCGGGTGGAGCTGCAGGTGGTCCATCGCTCATTCTACCAGAGTTTGGGCCTTCAGTCTCCCGTCTGCCTTGGGCAGTACTTTCGGGAAAGTGAGCCCATCTGGGATGCTGTCGTTTGGGTAGAAGGGCCTTGTGGAGGAGGACAGTGGAGTCCCGGTGCCATCTGGTTCTCGGTGGGTCGCGCTGGCTGCTTCTTGGTTCCCACTTCTGCTCCAGCAGTCATGGGCCCAGGTGAGCTTTCGTTGCCTAGGAAGTGCACACCCAGAGCCCAGCATCGGCCTGTCCCCTCAGCACAGCGAGGGCACACTGGACGCAGTCCCTGTGGTGTGCTGTGGCTTCAGCGTGACTGCCCTGTCACACTTTCCTCTTCCTGGATTCGAACGTGTGGGGAAAGAGGTGCTTGTTTGTGCTTTAAGAATTAACGGACTCTAATAGTGGTAAGACCACTATGGGGAAGAGGCCTGGTTTCGGATTAGATCAGCTTAGACCTTCTTGCCTTTTTGGAGGTGAAATGGGGAATTTTATTATGCTGTGTCTTCAGTCTTCCTGAATAGAATTACCGTGTGCTGGCATCACCTGGGATTTCAAAACACTGAATCTTGCCTCAGTTTGTTGCCTTACTGGGCTTTTAGGGTCTCACTGCAGGGCACTTATTCTTACTAATCTTTAAAAACACAGTTTAAAAGGGGACCGTCCAGCGAAGTGGCACCAAGTGCGGATTATTTCTCAAATCTGATCGTGAAAGTATCTATGGAAAAAGATTAGCCATCTAAATTGGATTTCCTTTGGATTTCCGTGATAATCACATACTTCTGTAAATTTTACCGGTTGTTAATATTAAAACATAAGAGACTTAATAAAATTTTTTCCAACATCCTTGATTTATACATCTTAGTTTTATGGGTAAATCAAGTCATGATTTGATTGAGGAGAAACTTACCAGTGGCCTGAATGGAAATCTGATTGAGCCACGAGAAAGTGCATAGGGGACAGAACGTTCTAGACCCGAGGACTGGTGGCCGGTGGCTTGCTTATGAGAGAATGCGTTGACGTGTGAGCGGTGGCATCTGCAGACTGTAATTGTTGGAAGGTTGGATGTGTTTCGGCTTCCAGTGGCTGAGCTGGGCGTAAATGGTTCTCCTCTGCTCTTCCCTCCTCCAGTTCCGCCTGTGATCATTAAAGAGTGGGCAGCTTACAAGGGGAAATCTCCACAGACGCCAGAGCTGGTGGAAGCGCTTGCCTTCAGGGAGTGGACCTGCCCCAACTTGAAACGGCTGTGGCTGGGGAAGGCGGTGGAAGACAAGAACCGCAGGATGAGGGCCTTCCTGGCCTGTATGAGGTCAGACACGCCCGCCATGCTCAACCCGGCCAGCGTGCCCACCCACCTCACGGTGCTGTGCTGCGTCCTACGGTAGGTGGGCCGGTGCCCGCAGATGCTGTGCATGTGAAATGAGGAGCTGTTCCCATCCCGTGTTCGTGTGATGAAATGCAGTGTGCATCAGAATTGATCCTGTGTGGCATGTTTATGGGATGGCTGTATTTGTGTACTGTATGTAAATATCATACTGATTTTAAACAGGCTTTCTCCCTTGAATATTAGAGATGTTGAAGGCTGTGCGTGTTATATTATGTGTTATTTGGAGTTCTGTAGGGCAAATGTAGTAGCTCTTTTAATCATGTGTAGATCAGTACGGACTTGTGGTTATCTGTTTTATTCCTAGGGTTATAACCTCATGTATCCTTGTTTATTTGGTTGCTCAGATTGTTCCAGCTCAGGCCTCGGGGGCTCGTTCAGCGGGCTCTTGTGTCCTCTGTTCCCCCAGCACATTCTTGCTTTCTGGCACCACAAGATGCCTGCTTCGCTCTGGACCCTGCCTTCTCCAGGGGTCCGGCTCCAGCCCCTTGGAGAGGGATCAAAAACCCGGATCTGGGCCTGCATGCTGGCATGCCCTCAGCGGACAGGCCCCGAATGCCTGTGTGGACGCTGTTGGTGTTGGGAGTTAATTCGTGTTGGCATGTATATCTGAACTAGGTTCATTAGTATTTTGAGGGTTTTTTTGAACCAATTTCCAACTTAGGAAAAAGTTGCAAGTACAGTACAAAGAGCTTTTTTGTTTAAGAGTTTAATTTTTTTGATTGAAGTATAATTAATATACGTTATATTAGTTTCAGGCATACAACATATTGACTCAACAGTCATGTGCATTATCAGTGTTCACCACACACACGGACTCCTAATACGGAGAAGAAACTGGTGGTTGCAGAGCAGGAGGTGATGGGGGTGGGCAAAATAGAGCCTTTTTTTAACCCACATACTGGAGTGTGGTTTTTGAACAAACAAGGGCATTTTCTGATAAACACAATGTAGTCATCAGAATCAATCAACATCATGCCTATTTCTGTCTAACTTCAGGGTCCGTTTAAGATCCTCTGTGTTTGGAGGTAAAGTCCTGTTGGTTTTTCCGCCAAACGCTGGAAGGTGCGGCTGCCCCTCTGTTGCTGTGGTCTCGCACGGGCTGTGTGCCTGCACCCTGACCGTGAGGCGGGGCAGGTGTCTGCAGGCTTTTCCAGTGGGGCTGCTCTGTCCTCTGTGTAGCTAGGACATGTTTCGTGGGAGGCTGTTTGTGTAAACACTCCATTCCTCCTTAGACCTCCATGGACTCACAGCTTCTGCCATCTTGAGGGGCCCCTAGGCCACTCCTGCCATCACTCAATCCGGTGCTTCGTTGTCACTGGCTGGGGCCCTGTCGGGCTGGCCTGTGTGTTCTCCTGATGGGTCTCCATCATCCTAGAAGCCACCACCCTTCTCCTTCTCCAGGCAGCCCTGCTTCCTAGGGGTGGAGACGGTCTCCCAGGCCCTCCCAGGGTGTTTCTGGTAAGCAGGTGCCACGTGCCTTTGGACCCTTCCCACGTGGCGGCCTCTGAGCCTGGCATCAGAGCCTGGGGGTCCAACCCTGTGTGGCCCTCCTCCCTGGCCCCCGACTCCCCTGTTTCTCACCCTGGGCTTAGGATGGGACAGAGCTTTAGTCGAGTGTTCATTTCCTGATGTTTCTTAAATTCATCACAGGCTTTAATGTCAGTGACTCATGTAGAAGCTTCTCTTTATCTAAACTGAGGTTGGCATGAGCGTATTGAGGATTGGTTTGTGGGAGAGACTAGATCTTTGTTTCGAGTCTTCTGTTTTCCTCGAATGGAAAATTTATTTATGGACCTGTTTTTATCAGTAAATACATATATATAGCCAAAGATTAGCGATGAAGATTTTCGATGCTCTAAGATCAAATTAGCAAGAATAAATTTAGTTGATTGTATTTCTCTCTTCCAAGTTTGAATTGGTGTGTGGCCTTTACCCCAGTGGACAGCTGACCGTCCGCCCACCTGGAGAGAGGATGCCTCCTGCCGCCCCCAAGGCTGCCCTCCTCACCTGGTCTCTCTCCTTGTCCTTGTGGGTACTCCTTGGCCATCACCCCAGGCCTTTGTAAAGTCTTCCAGATTTCAGGATTGTCCTGGTCCCCATTTTTAAGGCAATCTTTATGGTTGTTTATAGAAAATAGACTCATTTTAGAACTTGGGACAGTTAGTAAATGTGACTGGCATGTCACGAGGGGCTCTAGCACTCTGGTGGGAGGCAGGTGACTTGCTTGGCTGTGGAGATGGGCACACACCTGGGGTTTCTTGCATGGAGAGCCTCTCACGGTTTCAGGTCCTGTGGAGGTAGAGCTGGTTGAGGAGACGAAGTCAGGAAGAGGTGAGGGACTGCGGTTCACAGGACCAGTCCCCGGGGGCTTGGGGGCCACCTGCAAGCAGGCTGGTCCACTTCCACTAAGAGAGTCTGTTCTGCCTTCTGCATTTTGGACTTGGGGACAGGCAGGTGACAGACGCACTGGCTCCATGGTACGACCGCAGGTCATGGGTGTGGGCTGAGTCGAGGCCTCACAGTTTGGAGGGGGTGGTGCTTGGAAGGGCCAGGAGGAGGGGTCAGGGTTGATGTGTGCCCCTGAGGCCCTGGGGTCGGACCTAGGTCCTGGGAGGGGAGGTGGTAAGGCCCTATGGGTGCCCAGCAGATGACTGTTCCTGGAGAGAACCGGTTCTGAACTCAGGTTCGGCGGCTCGCCTCTCAAAAATCAACACTCGAGAGACAAGTGATAGTGGGAAAAGAGAGGTCGCTTTATTCAGAAAGCCAGCAACTGGCGAAGAGGGTGGACTAATGTCTGGAAGGCCACCGTCCCCATCCAGGCCAAGCGTCTTAGGAGGGGGAGGTGCCGGGAAAGGGGAGGGGGCGGCGAGCTGGAGACACGGTGCCCAGGCGGTCGGCCCTATGTCCACGGGACCCTGACAGACTTGCTGGCATCCATGGCAGGTGTTTTTGAATGTGGGCTGGCCTTATCTCTTGGGAGAGACTGGTCCCTCACTCTCAAGGCCAGTGATATGCAAATCCAAGGAGAGCAGGTTAGTTTGCTGCGGACGGGGACATAGGGCAGCAAGAAGGGGTGCATAAGCCTGAGGCCAGCTCCCTGCTGAGGCCACGGGAGTGCTGCAGCTAACCCTTGGCTGTGGTGGCTGTGCAGGGCAGGGCTGGTGGTCGGTCACAGGGTTTCCCTTTCTTTGATTTTCTCTTTCCTTGCCTTTCCTTTTTGGGTTTTGTGTGTTTGTTTTGCATAACTTCAAACTTGAACAGATTGTGAGAGGGGTTTGAGGAGTTTGCGGCTGTCCTTCACCCAGACTCCCTACACACGCCCTTGAGTGGAAGTTGTGGGTGCGATGCCTCTATCCCTGAGCTCTTGGGTATGTGTTTCTAAAAACAAAGACATTGTCAAAATCAGAAAAGTCATCTTAATTCAGCTTGTGCATATGTCTCTGTGAGATTTTGTCTGCTGTCCAGTGATGTTGTGCATCAGCAACAGGAGATCTCAGCTCGTGCTTGGGTTCAGCTGCCGAGTCTCTTCTAGTCCTTGAAGTGTCTAGGCTTCCTCTGGGTTGATGCGGAGTGAACACTGGCTTGTCTGCAGATGGTCCGTCTTATAGATAGCACGTGAACTAACGGGGCAGCAGCTTCAGGAAGCTGTCCGTACAAATGGGCTCCCAGATCTTGGCTGCCATTCGTCTGCCCCTGATTAGACTGTTTCTCAGTCCGCGTGTTCCAGTGTCTCTTTCCAGTGAGGTATGTTCCTGCCTCCAGGGTCTTGATGCCTGTGTCCCTTCTGGGGCAGTTGACACTGTGACAGCAGTGGGGAATGGGAGGATGGCAGCCAGATCTCTAGAACCATCCTCACGAAGGGGGGATGGGGGTGGGGTGCACACCTGAGCTGAGGTTCAGTGTGGGAGTGGAGCGAGTGTCCAGAACAGAGCGGAAGGCTGCTTTCCCAGCATACAGCCAAGCACAGATAGGCCCTCATCCCAGAGAGCTCACGTTCTCCTGAGCAGCGGGCTGGCTTCAGTCCTGGTGGGACTCAGGTCAGTAGTAGATAAGGGGATGGAGGGCTTGAGCCCCCAAGCAGGACGCAGACAGTTGGTGGCTCCTGTGCCCGCACCCTAGGAAGCACGGCCTTCCCAGGAGGGTCGCACAGGGACCTGCCTCTGCCTGGCCCCACAGACAGCCTCCCATTGTCTGCTTGTGTAGAGCGGCGTGGCAGGTGGGGGAGCAGGCCAGGCCGTTGTCCATCACCTTTACTCATGACTGTGGGCATGGCCTGTGTGGTGTGGTTTAGTCCGGCCTTTCCGCACATGCCTCGCTCCCTTGTGTATCCAGAACCAGAGAGGTGAATGCTGGTTCTATGAAAATGTGAATAGAAAGCCAAATGGGGGACACATCAGGCATTCTAACCAAAAACATTCTTGTTCAGCTGAACTGATTTTGGAGAGTCTTTGCTGCCAACAAAACCAGTCTGTCCCCAAGACGGCCTTTTTTCTCATTCATCATTTTAAAAGGAATAGGGGGAGGGGTGCTGGGGGAGGTGTTTGTGTCTCGTGGGCGCACAACACTGAGTGGGTCTTAGGCCAGCGCTGTCCGTGTGCGTGTGCTCGCGATAGCAGATCTCATGTTCTGCGCATTTCATCAGCATATAAGAGCAGCCAGATGCGCAGGTGGAGTTTGTACGCGGAGCAGTGTTTCCCACGGCCACTGTTGTCTGAGTGCGGGCCTTTGTGCACACTCGCTGTCTCGCATCGAGCCCTGACGCAGACCGTTGTCCCACAGGCGTGCGGCACCCACAGCCCTGCAGGGGTGCAGTGTTTGTCCCTGCGGACATCGACAGTTCAACGAAGTGAAACTTATATCTCTGTTAAATACATCCAGCTAAATCTAAATACCATACAGATGCAGTGTCTACTGTTTGTTTGCCTTGAAATTTCCTCCTCGCACCACGTAATGTTCCTGCAAAGCACGTAAGCTCTGCCACCATGTCCCCATCTCTAAGGTGGGGTGGGGTGGCCCCTGCCCTGGGGTTGCTGGGGCCGCGGGGCTTGGAGGTGGTATGTGCCCGTGTAGACCAGTGCCTGGTACCGGTTTTTATTGAAAATACTTCTCATCTGCTGGACGGAACCTCCTTTGTTGCCTGTTCACGCACATTCCCATGGATGAGTATTGATTATTACCAAAATAGGGCTCCACACCACCTTGTTCCTGCTTTTGTTGACTTAGATTTTAAGCTCTGAGAGAACTTCCTCAGCAGACAGGACTGGAAGGAGCTTTGTGAGGCATGTCAAGCTCTCTCTGCTCTTTTTGAGCTGCCCGTCAGAGGTCAACAGAGGGGTCTGTCACCCCAGGTTATTTTTAGCAATCAGCGGCAACTTGACTGGGTCGTCCTTCAGGTTTGCTGAGTGCAGGGTTGGGGCCCTCGAGCTCTCGGGGAGCCTCAGGCTGGGGCTGGGGTTGTCATGGAGGCAGGGCTTGTGGCGAGGTGAGTAAGGAGGAAGACCATGGACGCCTGGCGGTTCCCAGGCAGATGGCGCAGATGGATGTTTCAGATTTAAAAGTCGATTTCATGGGCGCCTGGGTGGCTCAGTCGGTTAAGCGTCTGCCTTCGGCTCAGGTCATGATCCCAGGGTCCTGGGAACGAGCCCCGCATCGGGCTTCCTGCTCGGGGAGGAGTCTGCTTCTCCCTCTCCCTCTGCCTGCCGCTCTACTTGTGCTCTCTCTGTCAAATAAAAATTTAAAAATCTTAAATAAAAGTCGATTTCACCTCCAGCTGCTCACACCAGAGCTGCCCGCGGGAGGTCAGCATGTCCAGGGGTTGTGGGCGCTGGTCTGGAGGCCGTGGTGTCCATTCTGGTCCCTTGGGCCCCTCCCTGTCCCCTCCCCTGGTGCTCTCCTGTGGTGCGGGAGCCTCTTCTGTGCATGTGTCTCACACAACACTCGCTCTTCATCTGAAGCTGCGTCTTTTTTATTTGGACCTAGAGTCTGCCTTCCAGGTATCCGGTCTTCAATCGAAATAAATCATGTAAATTGGTGCTTACAATGTATTTTCAGGGTTTGAATACCTTACCAGAGTGAAGTTGTACCAGAAATCACTGAGCAGCCACTTTGCAGCATGTGCAAATGTGGTGTGCTATTTTAATCACTCTGAAAGCAAACATTGTGTTGAGCCCAGGTGATGAGACACGCGCTTGTAGCTGGTGTCATGCAGTGCACATAAAGACAACTGGGGGAGGACTCTCGGTAGTCCCTCTCCCCCACCCAGCGCATGTCATCTGACTGTCCTTAGAACCTGGATGCCAGGTTGTGCGTGTGACTGGTGACCGCTCCATCCTGACACCAGACCCTCTCTGTCCACCTGTAGGTATATGGTGCAGTGGCCTGGAGCACGGATCCTGCGTCGCCAGGAGCTGGACGCCTTCCTGGCTCAGGCGCTGTCCCCCAAACTCTATGAGCCTGACCAGCTGCAGGAGCTCAAGGTAATGGACAAGCCTCATTCCTTGTGTTGGGAAGCGTTGCTTCGGAGTTCTGTGATGAGGGCTGACCTCACCGGGCAGAGCTGCTCAGAGCGCTAGACTAGAAAACCGAGCTGCGGACTTGGGAGCCTTCAGGGCAAAGGCAGTATCCTTCCCGGTGATGGAAACGGTCAAGTCTACTTCTGTCCGATAGAGGTTTTCCCTCGTTACCAGGGGGCGTTTACTCTTATTTTCACATCAGGAAGTAAACTTGCTTTTGTTTCAGGTGGGGACCCCGAACCCCAGGGAGGGCTTGGTCTTCAGGATTTTCTCACATCTGGCCAGGATTCTTTTCTCATTTCGTTCTTTTGTTCCTAATAACAGCATTCGTTTTCTCTAAAAAATAGTCTTGGCCCTCCTCAATTGTAAACCCCTTTAAAAAGCCACTTGAAGAACAGTGTTACGCCATCATCCCTATGCCCCTTTTGCTTAGCATTTAACATCATATTCCTTTTAAGTTTTCCTTCCAGTAACTCCTTTTGTTCTTTATTGTTTTCGCAACATTAATTTTCTCCAAGTGGCCCCCTAGTTTTTGGGGTGCTTATCTTTTCAGTGCACTTGGGTCAGTCGCTGTGTTCGCACAGCCATACTCGCTTTCTGTAATGTCTGTACTAAACTTTAGAAAGTTTAAGACTTTCCAGAGTTAGTGAAATCAGTGGATCTGCTTTTTCTTTTTAATGTACAGGGGTTTTGTTTTTTTTTCCTTTGACATAGTTTTTTTTGGTTTTGTTTTTGTTTTTTAATACTTGATTTGTAATCAGATAATCTCTTTTGACAAATTGCCTTCACTTTTAGATCTTTTAGTTATTCTTTATGAAGGCATTCTTTCCCTGCAGGGGTGTTTGAGGCTCACTTTATACTCAGTATTCCACAGTTGGGGCCCAATCAATGTCTGGTTCCCCTGAATTATTTAGTTAAATTCAGTAATTTGGTGTTGAGTGGCCCTCAACTGTGCAGAGCCCTGGGTCACACGTGGTCGCCCTAGGCTTCTGATGACTTTGACATAGCTAATAAATAAGACAGCAAAACTTAGAACCCACCCCAAATTATATTCTTTACTTTGCAGATCAAGCTTTTCTGTTTGTTAGACAGAAATTATTTTCATTTGTAATGTTTTTGAATTTAAGTTTTCGTTCTAGAATATTTGGCTGGGTGTCCCCAAAAGGCTGGCCCTCAGCGCAGGCTCTCGCTTGCGTGCCCCCGGCTGGTGGTGCCATCAGCTCTGTCTTCGTCCCCAGCCTGTGCTCAGGGGTGTTGTGAATACTTTGACTAGCGTGTGGTGCCATCCCTCTACCTCTACTTCCTGTTTCTCTTATTTAGATTATTACATCAGTATTGACATCCCAGTTCTGAAAATCAGACCGCCAGGTATCAGGTATGCCCACCAAGCCTTACTCACCATCAAGTTGCTTTTCCTCAAAGTTCATCTTCTCTCCCATATCCTTTTCATTTTGGATCAACACATAGGTATAACTTTTGAAAGACAGCCACACTCTAAGCTTTCATTTTGGTTCTTTTGAGGTCTTAGTGCTTTCATGGTTTTCTCCTGATCCTTCATCTGAAGCCAGGTGTTTCTAGAGCTGTGTTTAGAAAGACCTATTTTATGTGCAGTGACTTGAGGCCTGCCACTGTCCCTTCGGCTCTTGCTGGTCTGGAGGTCCACCTTCCCTTCAAGGACGGCCTGCACTGCTGGCACTTCACTCCCAAGCAGCCCAGATTCCGTAGAGCTAGAAGGGGGAAATAGTATTCACTGGGGGGAAAGGTAGTTTTTTTTGTTTTGTTTTGTTTTTTTAAGATTGAGGATTCTCTCAGCTATCAGATTGAGAATTGATAGAAATAATCATTATTTAAATGCTATAGAAATCCCTAGGCAAAGCTGAGAGTCCTAAAATTCAGTGATAGAAAAGTTAATTTTTAAATTGCTTTTTCATTTAACCATTAAAATTTTTTATATATCGAAAGCAAGGATGATGCTTTTCCATGAAATGCCATTTCACTGTTTGGGATATAGTCAACTCTTGATTTTGGTGGTTGTCTTAGGGGCCTCTGTCCAGTTTGTGGATTGCCCAGACCCTATTTTTGTTCTCCCATTTTTGTCCATTCTATGCTTTTTAGAATAAAGAGGAGAAGAAAAGTAAAAGACCCAGTTCTGACTTTGGCCTCTCGTTGGCTTTTCTGATGGGAGGTTTGGTGGGGAAAGATGTTGAAAGCATTAATTTAGAATGACTTTGTAAGAGTGCCATCTTGTCTGTGGGCGCTCAGTCTGCCCACTGTGACTGTGAACAGCTGCGTGTCCAGCGTGGCTCCTCGCAGACGTGGTCTGCAGGGATCAACGGCCCTTGTTTTCCCTCCTGTATTTTTTAGGTGCTTCTCTTAGGCTACCCGCATGAAGGTAGTGGTGAAGGTAAATCAGTGCTGACCCTGTGCCTGGAGGAAGGTGGGGAAAGGGTCGGGAGAAGGACTTTTGTACAGGCTCAATATTTATCCAGTTTCTTTCTCCCCTGCTCTTGATGTCCTTATAATTGCTTTAGATTCTTGTAACAATTTCACCTACTCAGTGCAGAACATAAAAGATGGAAGAGGAGGGGCTCTTCGACTGGATCAGGCCCCTGTGGTGCCTGCAAGAGTCAGGGTGCGTGCAGGTGAACATGGCCAATCAGAGGATGGGTCTGCGGCCCAGCACAGAGATGCTGGGTGGGGCAGCCTCACTGGCATTTGGCTCTTGAGCTCATTAGGCAGAGATTGAATTCCGTATTTGTATTTCCCGTAAAGTCAGAATTGTGTCACTTTCTCTAGTTGAGGAACTTTGGATACTGCTGACGATTCTCTCTTCCTGGGTGTAAGAGTGAGGCTGGGATGCAACTATTGCAGCCACACCGCGACCAGGGGATCAGACTCCAGTGCTGCCGACGACCGGTGTTAGGACCCTGAACGCTCTGTGACTCCGTGTCCCACTCTGTGAAGTGGAGTGCTAGGAGAGGTGTGTGTAGCGCACAGTGGTCGAGACGTAAACGAGATAATGTACGTGAAAGTGCACACAGCGGTACCCGATATGTACGTGTCATGGTCCCTGTAGGTGTTACATAGCGTTATTTGTATAATTAGCATGTAGGGAAAGAAATATAAAACACTATGTGAAGTAATTTAGAAAACTGGACGAGGCAAGATCTGCATGGCAGTTGAGATTTTATTTACATTATTTAAACAGCATTTATTTTGAGACTTTTTTCTGTGAAATTATGGTAGTTGTTGTTAGTAAAACTACATGATTCGATAATCATTTTTGAAACCCATGCAAACGGTTCCTTCACTGATGGCGAGTCTGTTTAGAATAAGTAGATGTGTGTGTGGGTGAGGCCGACACCCCACACCTCCTGTCAGCTCCCCGGGAGAGTGCTCCACATCTGCCCACCCACTCCGTCCTCCACATGAGGGGTGGTGTGTGCACGTGGCCACCACCGGGGACCAGGCGCTGGCAGCAGCTTCCCCAGAAGGCAGTACTGGGCTTTGGGACAACACTCGCCACCCCTGGCTTCCCCGTGGCCCGCTTGCTGCAAGGCCACATTCCCAGGGTCAGCTTTCCAGGAGGAAACGCTCCCTCTTTCTGCTTCAAGACTCTCAGAGGAGAAGGGACATTTCCACTTCAAGTGAATTCTTTCTCTATTTTGTTCCTCCTTTTCTGTGTTTTCTGCTCATAAATATAAAAATGCACCCAGTCCCATCATGCAGCCCTGCCTGCCCTCAGCCGAGCACGGTATCCCTCCCAGTGAGGCTGGAGGCTCCAGAGAAGCCGCTCCCAAAGCAGGGGCCAGCGGGCTAGGCTGTGGGCATGGACAGGCTTTTCCAGGTTTGGAAAAATCCAAAAAACAGAGTTTGGAAAACAGAGTTAGCTGATTGTGGGGATGTTGGCACTGTGCACGAAATGGCAGATGCTCATAAATTCATCATTATCTGGCACGGGCATGACCTTTTTCCTTTTTAATGAAAAGCCAGGGCACCTGCATTGCTTAGTGGGTGCCCCGTAAAGAAGGCATTCTTGGGACACCATCACCTTAGAAAGTAAGCATGCAGGGCAGGAAGACAGAAGCTAGGCAGTGAGAGCTCGGTTCTGGATAATCCACAAATCAGGTCCTTCATAGACGATCAAGAGTTGACTGTATCTGTCAGTGTTCCTTGCGCAGCGCACCAGGTGCGAGCAGATAGGGCGGCAGCACCAGCGGCGGGGGAGGGGAGGGGGGCGGCCAGGAGAGATAGTCTGCATGGTCCAGACACAGTGTTTTTGTTGTTGTGTTCTCCATTTATAAGCTATCCATTTCTCCTGAAACATTTGACAGTCTCATTAATGAGTTGCTATCTAAAACATTAACATATAAAATGATATAAACATGAAGTACAGATTTTAGAATGAAATTATACTGAGTACTTTTTTAATATGACTTGAAAAATGCAGAATCTTACTAGAATGTTCCTTGTTATAATCTTTCTGTTCCTACGTTGGCAGCATGTAGGATCTGCAGTGTGACTTGTTTTCATGCGTGAGTTGTGGACTTCCTGAGCGCTAAGGAGACTCCTGGTAGTCTGTTACTGTGTGGTGTCAGCCACAGCGCAGTCTCACTGTGCGCTTGTGCAACGCTTTACAGTTCCACATTGAAATAAGCAGTATGTTTATAAAGCAGTGTCTTAAATGTAAATCCGTTAAGTAACGTAAAAAGTCTGTGCTCAGATAGGCCAGCCCTAGGGTCACTGTGAGGCAATAGCAGGTGTGCTTAGGGGGCATTTGGTGGAGGGGTGTCCACGTTAACTGTGGAGAGCTATAGTCAGACGCTGTGAGAAACAGGTCCTGTTGTGCTCTTACTCCATGGAAATCACTCTTTTCCGTTTAAAGATTGAGAACCTCGACCCCCGAGGCATTCAGCTATCAGCTCTCTTCATGAGTGGTGTGGACATGGCCCTGTTTGCGAATGACGCTTGTGGCCAGCCGGTGCCCTGGGAGCACTGCTGCCCTTGGATGTATTTTGATGGGAAGCTCTTCCAGTCCAAACTCCTCAAAGCAAGCCGGGAAAAGACCCCACTCATCGACCTCTGTGATGGTCAGGTCAGTTGCGGGGAACGTCGGTGGGGGGCAGGGAGGAGTGGCTGTGGCCGCCTCAGACCGGGATGCAGGAACGTGCGCTGGCTAATGAGCCCGGGCCAGCCCCACGTGTGCGTAAGTGTCCGTGCAGGCCGCGGGTGCCGATCTCTGGGTGTACAGGCGGCATGCTGCACCCACCTGAGCACTAAGTCACCAGATACTAAACCTTGCTCCTGGGGGTCATACGGAGCTGGGTTTCTGCTGGCCTCTGGCCACATCTCTGTCAGCAACTCCAGACGCTGCCTTGTTTATGTGTGTTTCTGTTGCCAGACATCTCGATGGACATATATTGTGCACTCACATTGTCCTCGCGGCCGGCAGCACTGTAACAGCCTGAACAAAGTGCACGTGACACACGCGCTTTCTCCACAAGGCACATCCCACAGCCTGGCACTTAGGGACACAAGCCAGCACGCAGCATGATGCTCAGGCCCATTTCAAACAGCAGAATCACCCACAGAAACAGAAACGTGGCACTAAGTAGACGGTATAAAATCTGAAACAGGATGGCAGAGCCCTGGTGGCACCTTCCACCTCACCCCGCTCTGCACGGGTCTTCGGATCGCCACAAGAAGGTCACGAGCACTGATTCGGGGTTACAGATATATTTCAGCAATAGGTGAATCCACAGACGTGGATAAGGAGGGACCCTGCTTGTGTGAAATCCTGGTTTAAGCATAAGTTGAAGTCGGTTGTCAGGCGATCTTGTCCCGTTGCATGAAAGAGGCTCACATTTGCTTCAGGCTTCTAACTGCGTATTCTCCCCGAGCCACTGTGGCTCCCAAGTCAGGCTCAGTCTAAAGACAGATTTACGGAGTGCGCGGGTTTTCAGAGCCTTGGATTAAGAATTGGTGTTGCTGTATGTCTTTATGTATTTATTAACAAAAGACACTCCAGGTGAATGTCGTAGGTGTTTTTGCACGATGAATTTGACGCACACGAGCAGTGTTGGGCACGTCTGTGCAGGTGATGTTACCCTCTGTGATGTGACCCCCCCGGGCAGCTTCCTGTCCCACCCCAGTGCGGGCACTATGCCTCCGTGCCCTCTGTGTCACGCGCAGCACACGCCGGGCTGAGCGCTCAGTCAGTGAGCATTGTCTGCGCTGCAGTGTGACCTGTCTGGACTCAGCCGCTGGTTTCCAGAACCAAAACAACACTTTCAATTAAGAACTCCTGTAGTAAATGGTTTTTGCCTGGAAATAAGCCAAGAAAGCCGGGGTTTAAGTTGATGTTTGTCTGGGATCAAGGTCATGGGAGCAAGAGGGGTCTGTTCATTACGTTTTCAGTCTTGCTTGCCTTCCGTACGAAGTGTGGCTATGCAGACCGTGACTTGTGGGAAGTATGCAGATGTGTCCTGGCAGTTGGCATGTCTCACTTTGTCCTGTCCGTTCCAATTCAAGTGAAGCCTTGTGAGCCACGTTTTCACGTGCCGGCACTTGACTTGCAGGCTGAGCAAGCTGCCAAGGTGGAAAAGATGCGGCAGAGCATCCTGGAAGGGCTGAACCTCTCCCGGCAGAGCCACCCACTTCCCTTCCCGCCGCCCGCGGCGCTGCCTTTCTACCCTGCCTCCGTGTACCCCCGGCACTTCGGGCCCGTCCCCCCGGCTCAGGGCCGAGGGCGGGGCTTTGCAGGTGAGTGTGCAGGCGCTTTTGGGAGGGACTGGTGGTGTGGGGGGACAAGCGCACGTGCCACGTGCACCACGTGTAGCCCCATGGTGGTCCGTGTCTTGCTGTGCTGGGAACTTGGAATTAATCGTCAGGCTTATGATAAAGTTTGCAGCACCAGTTTTTCAGGAGAGACCAGCGCAGACTCAACTCCCAAAGCCGTGATGAGGAAGGGAGAGAGGGAAATACAACACTGCTGCAGAGACTAGGTGTTAGGGTTGGTTGGCTCACGTCTGGGGGCCAGAGGAGTCCTCTCCGCCAAGGCCACCCTCCCCTCCCCCCCTCCCCCCTCCCCCCCAGCCAGTGGCTGAGCACCCGTGGTTGATAGTTCAGAGTTATTCCAGTGCTGGTAAGGGGGGCTGGGAGACCCCCTTCCTGGCAGCTGATGGTGTGGGAGCAGCAGCTGAAGGAGACGGGGTCACTCTGCCCAGAAGTCCACCGGCGGCTCCCCCCGATCCTGCTCCTCATGGCTTCTCCGTCTCTCTCCACCTGGGTCCCACAGGAGTCTGTGGCTTTGGAGGCCCCTATGGGGAGACTGTAGCAACAGGCGCTTACCGTGCCTTCCGAGTGGCAACGGCAGCGGGACACTGCGGAGCCTTCTCCGGCGGTGACAGCAGCAGGACTAGCAAGTCGCAGGGTGGTAATTATGCCATGCCTTCTCCTAGAGCTTCGCTGCCCCGCCTGGCCCCCCTCTGCTGTCCTGGCCCAGCACTGCATCCTTTCCGCTAGGCCCGCTCCAGCCCCGTCCGCCCCCAGGTCTCTGCCTTGCAGCGGGGCCATCGGGTGTCCACATGGCCCTTTGCACCTGGCCCCAGCGTCGCCTCCTCTGCTGGGACAGGCTGCCTGATGGTGCCTGTTGGTGGGCTGCTCCCCCGGCGAGAGAGGACAAGCTGGTGTAGAAGGTTCTGAGGCCGTAGCAGAACTCCTGGCACAAAAACTTGCCACAGACTGTTTCATAGGAAACATTTTAAAAGAAAGTTCTAATACCACATATATAAATGAGTTTATTTTAAATTCCCTTTGCTTCTCTTCTTGTATGTGTTAGTCTTGCAGGAGAGAAAAAAGTCAACGTTTAGTTTTGAAATAATACCTTGTGATTTTGCTGTAATTAGAGCTTGTGACTCGTAGCTTTGTCACATGTCCTGTATTTTGGGAATGCAGAGTTAGACCCGGCCATCCCATCCACATTACAGGGCTCTTCAGATACAGTTTTGAGTAACTTTAGGATAGGCAAGTCTTCCTCTCCTGCCCAGGAATATTTTCCCAGCTCAGCTTCTTGGGGCTGGAGGGAGAGCTCTTCTGGAGCAGTAAAGACTCGCAGGCCAGTGCAGCGCCCCCTCTCCCCCAACAGGGCTCTGGGGCCATTTCTCCCTCTCACTGGCCCCGCATGCCCCTCTCCTGCCTCCCACCAGCGCTTTTCTTCCTGTCCACGCCATGCAACGTGCAGTGACTCGTGCTCTCTGCTTCACCATTGGCTTCAGCTCCTTGCACCCCTTGTCTGGACACTCACATCAGTGTGCAGTTGGGATACAACTCTGGGTGGGGTGGTGGATGTGGACACTATGGGGTCAGAAGTAGTTTCTTGAGGGGCGCCTGGGTGGCTCAGTTGGTTAAGCGACTGCCTTCGGCTCAGGTCATGATCCTGGAGTCCCGGGATTGAGCCCCGCCTCGGTCTCCCTGCTCAGTGGGGAGTCTGCTTCTCCCTCTGACCCTCCTCCCTCTCATGCTCTCTGTCTCTCATTCGCTCTCTCTCAAATAAATAAAATCTTAAAAAAAAAAAAAAAAGTAGTTGTTTCTTGGGCTGAAATGGCAAGAGGAACCTCTTTCATAACTTCCCCCAAATTGTGTCTGGAGCTCAGCTCTACATTGTCTAGTGGAGTAACAGTCGGCCACTGTGGCTCTTGAGCACTTGACCTGGGCTCATCCAAGCTGAGCTGGGCCCTAAACACAATATACACATCCAATTTTAGACCTAACGTAGAAAAAAGAATACAAAATATCTAATTAGTAGTTTTTATATTGATTACACTTGAAATAGTACTATTTGGGATATATTGGGTCAGATAAAACATTATCGAAACCTATTTCATCTGTTTTTGTATTTTTTCAGTGTGGCTATTAGGAATGTAAGGCTTGTGGGCAGTGCTGTCTGGCAGTAACTGTCATGTTGAAAACCTGGATGATGGAGAATATATTAGAATCCATTCCATCTGCCAGGAAATAAGAAGCTTGAGGTTCTGTTCTGTTTGGTCTTTATCAGAAGTTTTGCTATCAGTTAATTATTTGAGAATTTTCTTAGTTTAGTCAGAAAACCTTAGAAAATGCAGGCTATACATAGCTAATAGAAATTAATGAATACAGTGGATGTTTGTGACCCCACGTGAAGGAATTCTAATTTAACAATACAATGAGAAATAAGAGCCACATTTACTGGTTAACTTCTGTAATGTTTGGTGAAGGCAGGAAACTTGGAAGCAGTTACCAGAAGAGAAAACATTCTGAGTTTGCAGGTGTCCACCTTGGTGGTGGAGGTGGTGTCTGAGCACCCAGTGGCAACACTTTATTGAACCTGTTTCAGTCTAAAAGCCTTGCACAGTTTGTATTTGTAACTTGTCAGTTGCCATGAGTTCTGTGAATAGCCAACACGTTTGCTCACTCTCAGGTGTCTTTTTAACAACAGTTAAAACCATTAAAATCAAATGATGTGCACATAGATACTTTACGTAATAAATAAGTCTTCACAAAAGAAGGGAAGGGGGCTTTATATGAAATGTAAACCACAATTGAAAAGAAATTGCTTGCTTGTTTTTGCTATTTTTAATTCTGTGATTGTCAAGATTTGTTCTATTTTTTTCTGCAGGAATCCAGCCAATACCTTCTCAGGGAGGGAAGCTAGAAATAGCTGGCACCGTGGTTGGCCACTGGGCTGGGAGCAGACGGGGCCGTGGGGGCCGTGGGCCTTTCCCCCTACAGGTAGTTTCTGTTGGAGGACCAGCAAGAGGGTAAGTTCTGAAAATGTGTTTGTATTAATAAGAAAACAGCCTCTTCTTTCAATTGTGACTTCACTAGGAACATTTTTATATCATTAGATAGATTCTTTGATGTCACTGTTTGTGGTTACAAAGGATTCCATGATATATAGTATTATGTAGTTATTTTAACCATTATTAAATAATTATCAACACATTATTCAGTTAACTGTTTTTCAGTATTCAAAAAAAGTAACATTTTTGAAGTGTATTGTTTTTCCAATTGAATATTACTGGATATGGACCAAAACAATAAGATTGATTTCTTGGAATGCTAGGATAAATCTGTGGTGTGACACAGTCTACTGCATGAGATGGACATCATTTTAATGACTGAGCCACCCAGGTGCCCCTAGATGGATATCATTTTAAACGTCTTAGCTGTCTCAGCAGATTCAAGCCTGTGTGCTTCTGTCATCTTTTATCCATTCAGGCGTCCAAGGGGAGTGATTTCCACCCCGGTGATCAGAACGTTTGGAAGAGGTGGACGGTACTATGGCAGAGGCTATAAAAACCAGGGTGTGATTCAGGTAATCCACAACTCGGGGCAGTGGCGCACTCCGAGGGCCCAGTCTTGCGGGCTAGTCCTTCAGTGCCTGGGTCTAGATGGGGAGTGCTGGGGGGTTTCCGTAGCTGTTGAGTGTTCATCTAACACAGTGGTGGCGCGAGGTGTGACTCCTCAGCCCAGTGGGGCTGGTGTTGTCATCGGTGCCGAAGAGTATGGTCTCCTGGTCACAGCTGCACGGGGAATGTTCCAGGGCTATCAGTGCTGTTTATGTTATAAAACGTTATTTAGGTAAATAGCAGTTAGGGTTTAAGAAGAAAGCTGAAATCTTTTTCTTCTCCTGGACCATCTTGACTAGCTTGTGAGGGGACAGAGTCATGTACACGGCTCCGTGAAAAGAGCTGGAGTTTTCGTCCCGCTTTGGCTGTTACCACTTTAGAACCTGGATCCTGATGAATTACCCCTTGAGAAGAATCTTTTAGAAATGCCAGTGTACTTCTCAAGTTACGACATTTAATCAAAGTGTGCATTTCTGTCCATGCTACATGTGCAAACCTCAGGACTCCTGTGACTCACATACTAATAACCCACGCACGGAAATTTAATTGGCCAAGAGAAACTAAAATGCCTGCCTTTACCAGCTGACCCCAGCATCTTAAAAACTTCTGTTTTGTTTGTTTGTTTTAAGATTTTTATTTTAGAGAGAGTGAGTTGGGGGGAGGGGCAGAGGGAGAGAGAATCTCAAGCAGACTCCCTGCTGAGCATAGAGCCTGATGTGGGGCTCGATCTCAGGACCCATGAGATCATCACCTGAGATGAAACCAAGAGTCAGACACTCAACCAACTGAGCCACCAGGCACCCCAGAAACTTCTGTTTTGATGAAATCTAGCGAGTCAGATACAAAGGCAGCCCCCTCCCTAGAAGCAGGGCCCAGTCTGCAGTGCAGCATCCCCCGGGTGGGGGTGGGCTCTGCTCACTTTGGCCGCCCAGCCCCACCCCGACCTTCCTCTGCTTTCAGAAATACCCCTCTGAGTGGAAGGCACTCAGCCTCTGCATCAGGTTGACGAGAGGGAGGGGAAGCTGCCCTTGCTGTGCTCCAACCCAGAGCCTGTCCTGTACAGACAGCCCATGTGCTCCTGTCGGCCCTACTGGCTATGGGGCCTTTGATATAAAACACAGACACCAAAGCCACACAAGACAGCTGTGTGGCGTAGCTTCTTCCTTGTCTCCGTGGGGTGCTCATGTTCTTCAGAGTCCCTGAATCTGCTGGCTTCCCTCCCTCCCTGCTTGTTTCCTTCACTTTGTTGGAGGACAGACAATGCAGTGTGTCACCCACAGACTTCCTGCGTCTGGCCGGGTGTGTGCTGAGGGGGTGGCCCCTGTGACCTGACCTCTTTCTTGCATCCTGGTAGTGGGTCTGTCCCAGTGCCAAGGCTGAGTTGGACCTGCGTGCTTCTGTCGGGCACACGTGTTTGCATGCAGGACCTACTGTACTGATGTGCCACTGACCGGATCCATTCAGTCACTGGAAACTGCAAAAGGAAGACATTCTGGTTCCATCATTTCTTTTTTTGTTATTTTTGGGCTATTTTTATAAAGAGCTTCTTGCCCTTGCCTCCTATTTGGTACCTGAGTATGACAACACTTGCAGGACAGACACCTTGCCCACCCTGGCCGTGGGCCCTTGTGTGGCGTCTGGTCTGCGGCAGCTTCCTTTGCGGGTATTGCCTGGCCCAGCAGAACCACCACATTTCTCTTAGTTCCTTGGGCTCTTTAGTGGGAAATGGCATTACAAGACCACAGTCAGGGTGCCCATGGACCCCGATGCCATGGGGTCGGTCACTGTTCCTCGTGCTCTGTGTGCACACACCTGGACACACAGCCCTGTTTCTTCGTGCAGAAACACACACATGACATGCGTGCTTTTTATTGTATATTCTTAGGATACAGTCCTCATGAATTCACACTGATGTGTATAATTTAAACCAAGGGCTTTTACTTTTACAGGACTTCTGTTGAATCTCTTCCTTTCCTCACACCGAATCACTGTTTCTGGACTTTTCCTGTGAACAGAGCTACAGGAAGTACGTGTACTTGCATGTATCATGCCCGCAGATACGCCCACGCCGCCGTGCATTCCGGTGTACCACGTGCACACAGACGCGCGCGTGTGTATGCCGCTGCTTTTCTTCAGTGAAATACCTCAAGAGTTTATGTGGACTCTTCTAATTCAAATTTAAGACTTTGGAAATTTGACCTAAACTTTACTGTTGGTATCTATGTGTCTTTTCTTCCACCCTGAGAAAACCCGGGCATGATTAAGTTAAGAGTGCCCCCGGACTTGTCATTGGCTTTGTCCCAGCTGCACGCACAGTGGCTCAGTCCCCCAGCGCTCACGTCTCTGATGGTAGTTGTGCTGTTACCGACCGCGTTGTCCCAGCACACAGTCTTGACCTGCTACCCCACTGCGGCCCCATTTGCCCAGCTTCTGTGGAAGTGTGTCTGTCCGCCAGCGCTGTCCCTCGAGGCTCTCCTCAGCACACTTCACAGGGAGGGCCCAATGGAAACGAGGGGACGTTTGAAAGCACTTTGCTTTCCTAACAATCAAAAGTGGTGGTTCTTACCTCCCCTTCAGGTGTCTCATGCACGTTCTGTCATTTTCTTCTGTCATAAAGCTTTACGTCAAAGACTAATAATAAAAGAATTGTCTTTCCCTTGGAAGTCGTTTGTGGTTTTGGCCCAAACGCCCAAATTGTTTGTTTCTCTGCCAAGGTTTGGTGATGCTCCCCGCTGCTGGTCATTCTGCGTTGGTGCTCTCAGCACACAACGTGCTCCTTCTAAACGCGTTTCAGATCTTGTCTTACGTCAGAAAGTTTTTTTGGATTGCTGGTTTTTCATTTCTGTTGTTCTTCCTTCTTGGTTTTCATCTCTGGCACTCCTGTTGAGCTTGTCCTGTGTCTGTTGTCAGTGTTTGGCATGTTCTCCACTCCCTTGGGGTCTTCTTTTGAGATAGAGCTTACCTGCTTCAGGTCGACAGTGCAGTCTGTTCTTACTGTCATGCAGTGACCCTGCTACTTCCCGAACATTCATCTCCCCAAGAAGAAAGCCCTTACTCAGGAGCAGCCACCTCCCAGCCCCTGACAGCCACGAATCTGCTTTCCGTGGCTGTGCTCTGTGTGCGTGTCATGTAAGTGCTCCATTGTGGCACGCACCAGCACGTCACTCCCTTTGTCGCTACGTGACGCTCCACCGTGGGGATGGGGCACATTTTGTGTATCCGTTTATCAGCTGATGGACACGTAGGCTGTTTTCACTTTTTTGGCTGTTACGAGTAAGGCTGCTGTGAGCATCTAGGTATAGGTTCGGGTTCCCAGCTTTATTGAGATGTCAGCAGCATATAGCATTGTATTAGCCCCAGGTGTACAGCATCACCATTTGACACGCGTGTATTGCAGAGTGATCACCACAGTAAGTCTAGTCAGCCTGCATCACCTCAAATAGTTACAAAAATGTATTTTCTTGTGATGAGAACTTTTGGTATCTCTCTCAGCAGCTTTCAGATACACACTGGAGTATTGTTCACTACAGGCTTTGCCTTCAGGTGTTTGCGTGGACACAAGTCTCATTCCTCTGGGGGTGATTCCTGGGTCCTGTGGGCATTCTGCATTCATGCACTTGAGGAATGGCCAGACTCCCTTCCCGCTAGCCGTGCAGGAGGGTCTGGGTTTCTCCGTGCCCTTGGCAGCGCCACTTACTGTCCATACTTGAGTTTAGCTGTCCGGCTGGGTATCTCATTGTGGTTTGATTTACATTTCCGATTTTAAGCTTTTCTTCCTTTTTGCCATCTTCATGTATTACGACGTTCACTTGCTGTTGTGTTTCCCTAGTTGGGTCTTTGTTTCTGTTTTGGACCTCCCCTCCGGGCTTTCTTGGTCTGCTCTGTGCTGCTCCTCTAGGTGCTGGAGCCAAGGCACGGTGGCCCGCAGCGGTTTCTTCCTTGGTTTTCTTATGTTGCGCTCTAGCGGCTCCACCTCGATGCTTCCTGTTGCTCGTTTTTAGGTGACCTTGGTGTTCTTGCCCCTTGAGAAGCACAGATAATGAAGGGCAGCTGGCCTGCAGAGCGTCTGTGGTCCGTCTGTCTTGTTGGTATTGCAGCCGCCTGGGAGGGTCAAGTGTCGGGGGCGGAGGAAGCAGTGCTGCCCGTGGTCGGGGTGCCCTTCGGGGGCGGGGCTCGTAGTGGCCAAGGCTTATGGGAAGACTTGGCTGTAGAAAGAGGGCACGCCTGTTTCTGAACGGGTGCAGTCAGCATTCCCGCTCCCTCCACTGGCATCATCTGTACCTGCCCCCATGGTCTCCAGACAGTGACTGTGGGGAGTCCCCAGTCAGCTGGCCCCTGCCGCTGGCCCTGACGACCCTGCTGCACGTTTAGTGGCAAGTGGGTTTTTCCCTCAGAGAGTGAGGGCTCAGAGGTTGGAAATCTTTGATGTTACCTTTTTCCCCGCTTTGCCCTCTTATCTTTTTGTATTAATTATCTTTCTCAAGGTTCCAACAAAACGACAGTAGTATTGACTTGTGGAAAAGCTCACATTCGTATTTCTGAACTCTGGGATTGAACACTAAAATGAGAAGACCTGTGGGAATGGAGCCCAGAGGGGTACCAACCCAGGAACTGCCAGCATGCAAGAGGGCGTGCCAGAGGCGAGGGCGACGGGCACCTCCAGCCCCACTTGGCTGAGCAGGGAGGGCCTTTATTTTCAACCAGGCAGACACCCTGGTTTTCAGAGTAGGGAAGACTGGAGACCAGACACACTGCCGTCTGGGGTTGAAAGGGAAGGAATGCAGAGCTGGGAGATCTGTAGGCGGCTTTCGGGTTCTGGGTCCCAGATTCTTCACTGAAAAACGACCATCTGAAGGCAAAGACCATGAAGGTTTTCTTCGGCAGTGTGTCTGCCTCTGACAGTAGTTCTCAGCCCTAGTGATGTCGCCCCCTAAGGGCCACTGGCTTTTTTGGGGGACACTGTTGATCACCACAGCTCAGCCTGCAAGCGCTTCTGCCTTCTAATGGGCGGAGGCCAGCGATGCCCACCACTCTGTAGCACACAAGACAGCCCATGGCAGAATGATCAGGTCCAAAAGGTCACGGTGCCAGGCTGAGAAACCCATGGTAAAAGATGTAAGCACCTGGACGATCTCGAGCTGTCTTCCTTGTCTTTCAGGACATGAGCTGAATCACTCTAAAAGTTCATATTTTTCCAGAATTACTTTTAAATCTGTTAAGAGGAGCAGAGAGACCCGTTCAGAAGAGATAAGTCACAAACATATGTGGCGATTATCAGCTTAGACTTATTTCTTGTTGAGTTGTCCAGAGAGGACTTAGGTTTGCCTCCATTTGCCAGTAGAAATGGGCCTCCCACAGACTGTGACAGGCGGATGTGTTAGTTGCTGAACATTGGGGGAGTCGTAGTCTGAAATTTCAGAGAGGATTTATTGAGGGGCGGTGTTAAGGTAGAACTGGTACTATCCAGAAGGATTAGGTAGAGTTCAAGTGGGGCTCTCCTGCATGGCCAGGGTATCAACTACAGAGAAGTGGAGGGAAGGGGTCCCAGGACGAACCTGCTGGGACAAGCTTCTGCCAGTGGCGGGTCAGTCAGAAACAAGACAGAGTGCATTAGAGTGTAGACTGTAGAGGCCACAGACCAGAGAGAGTATGGAGTATAGACAGTACAGACTGTAGAGAGTGTGCAGAGCATGCAGACCACGTGAGGTACAGACCAGAGTACGTAGGTGTGTAGAGCAGACACTCTGCGGGTGTTAGGGTACATAGAGCATACAGACTATAAATCTACACAGTGTATGGACTGTGTGCACAGACTGCGGAGAACACAGACTGGAGTGTATGGGGAGGAGAGTGCAGAGAGTGCGCAGGTGCACAGGGGGTATAAGGAGTAGGGCTGTCCAGCCCCCAGAGCATAAAGGGCAGAGAGCACGCACCGTGAAGAGCACGCCCGTGCTGTGCATTCCACTGTTGAATCTGGAGCAAGCAGTATCAGGCCTTGGTAGGCATTCCTTCTCTCCCACTGTTTATCAAAGCTGCTTTATTGCTTGTTGTCCTTGATTCTGACCAGGGCAAGCCTCCTTACGCTGCTTCCGCGGAAGAAGTGGCCAAAGAACTGAAGTCAAGATCCGGGGAATCCAAGTCGTCCGCCGTGTCTTCAGATGGGTCCCTGGCTGAAAACGGAGCGGTGGCTGAGGAGAAGCCTGCTGCCCAGATGAACGGGAGCGCAGGCGACGCCAGGGCCCCCAGCCACTCGGAAAGTGCCTTGAACAATGACTCTAAGACGTGCAATACAAATCCTCACTTAAATGCACTAAGTACAGACAGTGCTTGCCGCAGAGCTGATGCTCTGGAGGCTGCTGTCTTAAAGAAAGAAGAGTAAACTTATTTTTTATAGAGGGTGAAGGATGCTGGAAGGGTAGGATTCAGGAATATCTGGAGAGAAAGAGAGCCTACAGTTATGTACATTTTTTCCTTTCCGTAAGAGAAAAATGAGGACTTTGGAAATTCGGATCCCTCTTTGATATCAGAGATTTAAACAACACATTTTTAGTTTTAACCAGTTGTAGTCAAAATGCTACAATAAAACAAAAAGAGAGAAAGAAAATGAAGAGCATTTGACTCCCACACTTAAAATGAAGTACACACAAAGTTTAAACTGGTTATGACAAAAGCCTATAGTTGTGTTTCTTGAACTATAAAGAAAACAAATTTTGGCAGTCTTTAAGTATATATAGCTTAAAATATCATTTTTAGCATTTGGCACCATATGTATGCCATTATCTTTGATTTTGCATTACTGTTCACAAGAAAGCTTTGTCTAAGGCTTTGATTTTATGATTATGAAAGAAATAAGGCACACCACAGTTTTTCTTTCTTAAATCTCATCACTGTTGATGTGGTTCTTTTGTGTTAAAAAAAAGTGCAACTATCAAAACAAAAAATTATAGAGTAATATTGCCGTTCTGATTTTAAATATGCAGTACATCATACTTACTTTACAAGCAAGTTAAATGGAGATAAAGTTGAAATCATAGAAGATGCAAATGACCTTTCAAAATCAACACAATGTGTTCTGAAACTTCGTGACTTAATACCATGCATCTGTGATCAATGAACTATGTGGTTTTGATCGGACGTAGACCATTAGTGCTACTACTTGAGCTAACCTTCTGCATGGTTCATAATTTTTAAAGTGTGTAGTTAATATTATGCATGTTATTGTCCTTCCATTCTTACCAGTATGTGCCCATTTGCAAAACAAAATGCTAATAATCAGTAATAGTCCTATAAAAGATGTTAACTCTGTTTAGTCATTGACTGATCTTGCTCTAACCTTAAAATTTTGTGATTATTGACCTCTGTTGCATTTATTCTAAAAACCCCCCCAAAATTATCTAGCTGTTTCAAATATCAACATTACCCTGGTGTATTCACTGCTGTATGCATTATTGTTCTTTGTTGCTGTTTTATGCCTTCATATTAGCAAAATATGAAATTCTGTGAAAAACAAAAAAAAAATCCCTTTGATCTTTAAAAAAAAAAAAACAAAAAAAACAACCCCCCCTTCTGTAGCAGGAAACAAATTGCTTGTTCTTGAGAACTTTCCCATCAAGAATTTAGTAGAAGCAGGTATACTTATATCATTTTGATGTTTTTGTTACTGTTTCCAAACAATGTACTTTGAAATCAGAATCACTTATTCGTTTTCATATAATTCTCCTGATGCTCTTCATCACACATTAGTGATCAGAAATGAGATGTAATTCCCCAATCCCTGCCCGCGAGACCTGAGTAGGATCTTACTGTAAGTTGAAGGGAGTTCTGCCCTAACTCATGGATTGTGCAAGAATGAACTGCTGTTGGGTCTGACTGATTGTAGGTGGGTTGTGGCGTGCTGTACCGAAGGCTATTGAATGCAACTTACAATGCTTAATAAAAATCTTTATTCTTTTAGTATAAACACGGCGTGGCTTCCGATTCGGCCGGGACCGCGGCGGGGGCGCGCAGGGTGGGGGCCCGAGCCCCGCCGACGACACACACCCCCCGGGCCGGTCCTCGGACCGCAGGCTCGGAGACCAGGCAGAGCGCGCTGAGCGCTGCTTGCTAATGCCCACACCGGCCCTGCCCCCCACCACGGTGGCGTTTCCACGGTCGCTCAGCCGGCAGCGCTGCGGACAAGCGTGCCGCGGGGCTCTGGAGGAAACCGGCCACGGCACCCGGGATTCGCAGACGACGGGCGCGCTTCCGGCCCGTGCACGGGGGCGGGGCCTGAGCCGCTTCCGGCCTGTGAGCGGGCCGGGCCGCGAGCACTTCCGGCTTGTGCTCTGGATGGCACGGGGGGGGGGAGGCCGTGAGCACTTCCGGCCTGTGCTGGAGGCGGGACCGTGGGCGCTTCCGGCCTGTGCTCGGGGCGGGACCGCGAGCTCTTCCGGCCTGTGCTCGGGGCGGGGCGGGGCCGTGAGCTCTTCCGGTCTGTGCGCGGGACGGCGTGGGGCGGGGCCGTGAGCGCTTCCGGGCTGAGCTCGGGGCGGGGAGGCGTCCTCCCCGGCCGCACGGGGGCTGCGCGCGCACGGTGCCCGTTCCGCGGCCGGCCGGGCAGAGCGTCACCGCGGGCGCCAGCGCCGGCGTGGGTGAGCGCGGCCTGCGAGGGCGCAGAGGCCCGGGCCCGGCCGCTGCTCCGGGGCAAGCCAAGCACTCGTGCTGACCGTTTCTTGTTTTCCTTTGTAAAAAAGAGCTTTTGTTGATCTTGTTTGCTTGTTTGAAAAGTAACACGTTTATTATAGTAACTTCAGAGTGCCGCTAGACAGAAAGGAACAGAAATCACTCGTGATGCGCCTCCTGGCGCACCTGCATCTCTCCTGCGCAGCCCACAGACGTCTGCAGGAACTTCCCCGGACTCCAGCCCCCACGCACGCTTGGTGAGGGGTCTGCGCGCCCAGTAGAGCTGTGTGTACGTGGGGCTGTATCAGATAAGCACACTGCGCCCAGCACCGTGCCCCGCACTGCACCTAGCACCACTGCGCCCAGCACCACTGCGCCTAGCACCTAGCACCACCGAGCCCAGCACCGTGCCCTGCACTGCACCTAGCACCACTGCGCCCAGCACCACCCAGCCTAACACTGCGCCCCGCACTGCACCTAGTACCACTGCGCCCAGCACCACTGCGCCTAGCACCTAGCACCACCGAGCCCAGCACTGTGCCCAGCACCATACCCAGCACCACTGTGCCCAGCACTGCACCCAGTACCAGCGCAGTGTCTTCCCACCACTGCATTCTGCTGTGACCCAGGCCCCACACAGTGGCTGTACAAGTGTTCCAGACTCAGCGGCAGGGGCCACCCCTTCATGGCACTTCTGTTTCGGGGTACAGTATAGATGTGTGTACATGAGGCTGTATCAGATAAGAACACAAGGAACATAACCCAGGGTCACAGGCGTGTGGCAGGGAGGGCTGCTGGGGCTGGGGACGGGGGTGGTCTGCAGAGCAAGGTCGGGCTCAGGTCCAGGGCAGGCATCAGTGGATAGAGAGAACCCACTGATGAGGGGAGAAGCCACCGCACAGGGTTCTTGGGTGCTGCTGGCACTTGGGAGATGAGGAGCAGTCTCCAGGTGGGCGCACACACCCTGCCAGGGAATTAGCTTCTCCCTGGAAGGAAAGCCAAGGGGAGGGACAAGGAAGGAAGGGTGTCTTGGTCCTCAGCACTGACCTGCCCCGCTCTTGGCCAGTGGGACAGGAAAGTGGGTTTCTGGTTTTCACCTGCATTGCTTCAGTTGTCTGTGAGGGTGACATTTCCTTTGTACTTTAATGTGCCCTCAGTTTGTCCATGTTCCAATCAACAAATTGTTAATATCCTGGCTTTTTTGAATCTAAAAACCCAGGCCAGGGCAAACATTTTAAGAACAAATTCACCATTTGTGCCCTCACCCGTGTTAGCGCCTGCAAGTACAAAGGGAATTGCAGACACCCCTCCTTGCCATCTGTCTCCTCCTGGCTCCTGACAGGGGCCCTCTCAGCACCCTCTGTGGGCGGGCACAAGGACCCCAGCTCTCTCTCAATGTGGTCCCCTCAGGAGTGGCTCTCTTCTCCTGCGACCTTATTCTGCCGTGAATTCTTTGGACAATGCCTGATTTACTGCCCTTTCCCCTTTGCTCCTTACTCCCCACTTGGTGGAGTGAGCCTTGCAGAGGTTGCTTTGCCCTCACCACAAGGGCCCCTGGCTGCTGCTGGCTGGGCCTCTGCTCCTCTCCTCATCAGCTTCCCTAGCACAGCCAGGGGCCCCACGGACCTGCCCATGGGCCAAAGCAGGCTCTGCACCAGGCACTTCAGCCTGTGCTGTGCGCTGGACTGTGCAGGTGATATCTTGGGGACTCCAGGAGGGACAACCTGGGGACTGGGTGGAAATTACCCAGGCAGAGTGCTAGCTGCTTCAGGGCGGTGCCTGGGATGGCCGTGGTCCACTGTGCCCAGCAGACACCAGCAGCTCATGAAGCAAGCCTGGCAGCACTGCAGCACACCTACCCAGGCTCATCACACCACGTCCACTCCTGGCATTTGTGCAGATCCAGCTCTTCAGACCTGACCGACCCAAGTGTGGGTTATGTGTCACCTGGGGCTGGTTTTCCCAGAGTAGCCCGTTTGCCCTGTTCTGGTGTTTTACGAACAGCGCCCTTTTGGATGGTAAATTAGATAGTCACTGGGCTGAGGGGCTTTTGTCTACAAACGCACTGCTTCCAAACATCACAGGGCCATCCTAGAGATGCTAGACAAGAAGGGCACTCTCATACGTATCAGGAAAACCCAGAAGGTTTCCAAAGTCCCCCATGGGTCACTGTTCATTTCAGTGGGTTCTGGATCAGATCGGTTTGGTCCAGGTCTCCCAAGGGCCTGCTCTTAGAACTCTCTTGGCATTCACCAGATGGCTTCCTACGTTAACAAAAGCACACCTCCGACCCTGAACTAGTACCTCCTTTCTGACTTCTCCCACCCCCCAGACTGTTATTAATTGTCTGTCATCTGCTCTGGCACATGAGCTCCGCAGCAGAGGGACGTGTCTGCCTGGTTCACAGCCATAAGACCTGCACTTGTTGCTCACTGACACAATGGACAGCCTGGATGGAAAGGGCAAACTCTTCGACACACACAACCCACCAAAGCTGAATTATGAAGAAACAGGACATCTCACAGACCTGCAGCTATTACAGAGACTGAATCAGTAATCAAAAGCCTCCCAGCAAAGAAAAGCTTTGCTGGTGAATTCTATCACGGATTTAGAGAAAAATCAATACCAATCCTTAAATTCTTCCCAAATGTTCAGGAGGAGAGAACATTTCCTAACACTCCCTCTGAAGCCAGCATTGCCCTGATAACCGAAGCCAGACAAAGACTTGACGAGAAGAGAGAACTACAAAAAAAAACAACCCTCATGAACCTTGATGCAAAATTCTCAGCAAAATACCAGGAAACTGCATACACCTGTGAGTTAGAAAGATGGTACACCACGACCAAGTGGAATTAGTTCCTGGAATGCACGGATGGTTCAGTCTCAAGAGCAATCCAGGTGAGACACTACACTAATAGAACGAAGGGGGGAAAGCCCACGGGATCATCTCAACCAACGCAGAGAAAGCACTTCACAAAATTCAACACACTATCATGATAAAAATACTCAACAAACAAGGAATAGAAAGAAATTTTTCACCATAGTAAGGCCACATATCAAAAAGCCCAAAGTGAACATCATACTCAATGGTGAAAAAGTAAAAAAAAAAAAAAAAAAAAAAAAAGCACTGAGGTGCCTGGGTGGCTCAGTTGGTTAAGCGACTGCCTTTGGCTCAGGTCATGATCTTGGAGTCCCGAGATCAAGTCCCGCGTCGGGCTCCCTGCTCAGCGGGGAGTCTGCTTCTCCCTCTGACCCTCCCCCCTCTCGTGTTCTCTCTCTCATTCTCTCTCTCAAATAAATAAAATCTTAAAAAAAAAAAAAAAGCATTTCCCCTAAGATCAGAAACGAGAAAGATGCCACTTTTACCACTTCTACTCAACACGGTATTGGAAGTTCTAGCCAGAGCAATTGGGCACGAATAAAAAACAAACAAACAGCATCTAAATTAGACAGAAAGAAGTAATTTCTGTTCACCAATGACATGCTTTTACGTACAATCATCAAGAATTAGGAACTCTAAAGATTCCACAAAATGCTATTAGAAGTAATAAATTCAGCAAAGTTGCAGAATACTAAATCAACACACAAAAATCAGTTTTGTTTCCATACACTAAGAATAAACAATCCCAAAAGGAAATTAGGAACACAATTCCATTTACAACAACATAAAAAAAAAATACTTAGGAATACACTTCAGCAATGGGACAAAAGACTTGTGAGCTGAAAACTATGAAACATCGCTGAAAGCATAAGGCACAAATAAATGGAAACACATCCCACGTTCGTGGATCAGAATATTAACATTGTTAAGATGGCAATACTACCCAAAATGACCTACACATTCAATGCAATCCCTGTCAAAATTATCATAGCCCTTTTTGCAGAAATGGAGAAGCCAATCATCAAATTCATATAGAGTTGTAAGGGACCTAGAAGAACTGAAATGATCCTGAAAAAAGCACAGAGTTGGAGGGCTCACACTTCCTGATTCTAAAACTTACTACAAAGCTACAGAAATCAACACAGTGTGGCATAAGCCTGGACATGCAGACCAATGAAAGACAATAAAAAGCCTGGAAATAAAACCCTTGCCCACACGGTCACATGATTCTGACAAGGGTGCAATGACCATTTAATGGGGAGAGAACTATGCTTTCAACACATGGCGTTGGGAAAGCTGCATCTCCATGTGCAAAAGCAGGACGCTGACCCTGCTTTTGGGGGTCAAATTGGATATGGTCAAATTGGAACCCTCGTGCACTGTTGGTGGGCATGCAAACTGGTGCAGCCACTCTGGACAACAGTATGGAGGTTCCTCAAAAAGTTAGAAATAGAACTACACTATGATTCACCGATCCCACTTCTGGGTATACACACAAAGGTAGCAGCAGGGACACAAACAGATATTTGCACACCCACATTCTTAGCAGCATTACTCACAACAGCCAAAAGGTGGGAACAACTCAAGAGTCCTTCGACAATGAACGGACAAATCAAATGTGGGTTCTATGTAGGATGGAATAGTATTCAGTCTTAAGAAGGAAGGGAATCCTGACACCGGCTACAACACGGGTGAACCTGGAGGACACCGTGCCAGGTGATGTAAGCCAGTCACAGAGGGTCCAACTCTGCAGGAGTCCACCAACCCATGGTCCCTAGAACAGTCAAGCTCGCGAAGACAGGAAGTAGAATGGTGAGCATCAGGGGGTGGGGGTGGGGCTAGGGGGGCCAGAATTGCAGAGAGGCACTGTGATGCTTGCACAACAGTGTGAACATACTTAATGCCACAGAGCTGTGCACTTAGAGATGATCAAAATGGTAAATGTTATCTTGTGTATGTTACTACCATTAAAAGAAAAGCCTGCACTAGCCTTCAGTATACTTTTTGGAGAGGGAGGGGATCAACATGACCTGAAACATGCTGTTTCCACTGGGTAACAAGGTGAATAAAACGGGCCCCACCTTCGAGGCTGGTTGCAGGGTGCGTGCTGCTGGGAGCCCCCCTCTTAGCCCTGCTGCAGGCCTGGCCATGTGGGTGGGTGGTGAGGTCCTGATGCTTATGTGGACTGCGCCCCCAGGAATGGCATGGACTCGGTCGGTGTTGAGGCAAAGGGCAGACCACATGGAAGGGCCAGAGCATGAATGGGCGGCCAGAGGGGACACCTGCATCTCAAGGCCACTGCCCCCTGCTTCCTGGGTCCTTGCATCTGGCCCCATGCACGTTCCCTCTCTGCGTGGCCTCTGAGCCCAGGTCACTTCAGGAGGCCCTAGGTCCCCACCCACCCACCCCCACCAGCGCTGGTCTCCCCAGGGCACTGTGGGGCATGTGTCACTCTCCCCCTTACAGCAAGAGGAGGTACAACAGGGCACACAGCAGGTGCTCGATGCGCATCTAAGTAACTGAAGGAGAGGGAGGAGGGCTTTCTGGAGGTTGAGGACAGGGAGGGTTTGGGACCCACGTGGACGCTTACTTTAGTGTGTAGTCGGCCTGCGGCTTTGGAAGAGCTTCGAGCATCTCTGCGGACACTTCCAGATGCAGTGGACACGTGCAGATGGGGAGGGCAGTGTGGCCGGAGTGGACTCAGGCCCCGGGGAAGTGGGGGCTCCTGGTCTGCTTCTCCCTCTTGCCAGCAGGCCAACTCCTCCGGGAGGGACTGGGCTGCTTCCAGCCTCAGTGTCCTGTGGCATGACGCCCATCTGGGTACCCGTCTGTGGAGCAGGGGCGGCCCAGGGCTGATGCTGCGTGCTTCCCAGGCAGTGGCCGGGCGGGGGGGGGGGGGGTTTGCTGCTGGAGCGTGCAAGGAACTAAGCAAGCCTCTGGTGAGTCTTTGCTAAATGCTGGTGACGCTGTCCTTGTTTGTAAACAATGGAGGTATGGGAGGGGGGCTGCAGCCCGGGGGCCTCCAGAAACTTCTGGCCTTGCTGGACCGCCAAGGGGGGAGGTGGACACTGCTGGTGTGAGCACCAAGGCACTGCTGCAGGGGACGGCCCCTCAGCAGTGCCCGGGCCGGTGCCCTGGGCCGCCCTGCAGACTCAGCACTGTTCATCTGCACTAACTCGACCACGGTGCTCCTGGTGGACAGTGCTTCCCAGAGTCCGCACCAGGTCTGGGGAGAAGGACTCCAGAGGGGAGGGTGACAGCTGCAATTCAGGGAGGAAGGCGCTGAGCACGGGGCTGGGGGGGATGGGAGCTTCTCCCTCCCCCCCAGCCTCCCCACCATCGCCCAGAGTCTTCTCCACTCTTACTCCTCATGCTGGTGCCTCCCAGCTAAGGCCCTGCCATGGGCACTGCCGGGCTGCGGTCCAGGGGTCATCTGCTGGGGGAGGGGGGCTGGCCACACCAGGGCAGGTTTTGGCTCAAGAGGAGGGAGCACTTCAGCGGAGCTGCCTGCAAGTGGGACAGGTGGCCCTGAGAGGCTGCGGGCTCAGGTGAGCGCCTGCCTGTCGGGGCTGCCGCAGCTGGGTGGCCTGGACCAGGCTTTCCGTCCAGGCTGGGGTCGTGCTTCAGGTGGCCAGCATCCCCCAGGAGCAGGGGGCAGAGCTGTACTGTACTCCCTACTGCACGTCAGAGGCCACTCTGCTCCGGCACCCCCAGAGGAGCATGGATGCAGCTGGGAGGAAGGAGCCCTCAGTGCCCCCCACCCCAGACCCTGACCCCCCTGCTGAGGCTGCAGGGCCCAGAGCAAGGCAGCAGCACCTCCTGTCCACCCCTCTAGCCCCTGCTGCCCTAGAGCCACAGTTCTGACAGGGACCGGAGGCCTGGGGGCTCTGACCAGGGATGGGGGTGGGGCTCCAATTCCACATAATCACTCTCTCTTTATAGAGTTGACCTTTGCCAGTGCGCTCCTGGCTCCCCTGAATTCTGTCCTCCTCTGGGGGCCGAGCATCAGGAGAGTCAAGGATCCTGTGGGGGGCGGGGGGCGGCGGGGGCTGGCTGTACCCAGCCGGAAAAGGAGCAGGGAGGAAAAGCAACAGAAAACCCCGGTTGCCCCCTGTCCGTCTGCTGGGTAAGAAGAGAGTTGGAGCCAAGTAGTTGTTCCTTGGCCATCTGAACGGGAAGGACATCCTGAGGGTCTCACCCCACACCCAAGGGTCTCAGGGCCTGCCTACCCCTGTACCCTCAGCCCACCTTCTTTCCGGGTGGTCCCCCCACTTTCCCTGCACCCCCCCAATTACCCAGCCCACTTTGTCCTGGCTTGGTTCCTCATCCATCCTCCCCCACAGGGGGTCTCCCTGGCCCACCTACTCCTGGCAGGGGTCCTGGTCGCCTTCTCCCCTGCGGGTCTCCCAGCCCACCTTCTCCCCCAAGGGATCCCCCTGCCCACCTTCTCTCTGGCAGGTCCCCCGGACGACCTTCTCCTCCAGAGGGGTGTCCCGGCCCATCTTCTCCTTCGGGGGGGGTCTCCCGCTCTCCTCCCCGGTCCACATGCCCCGGGAGGTGTCCCCCGGCCCTCCTTCTCCCCCAGAGGGGTCCCCCGGCCCACCTTCTCCCAGGAAGGGCCCCCAGCCCACCTTCTCCCCCAGAGGGGTCCCCCGGCCCACCTTCTCCCAGGAAGGGCCCCCAGCCCACCTTCTCGCCCAGAGGGGTCCCCCGGCCCACCTTCTCCCCGGCAGGTCCCCCGGCCCGCCTTCTCCCCGCGGTCCCCGGCCCGCCTTCCCTCGGCGGGAGCGGCGGCCCAGGCCGGCGGGCGGAGGCGGCGCCACCCGGGGCGCTGACGTAGAGGCCGCTCGGCGGCCGGGGGTCCCTTCGGTGGGGCCGCGGCTCCCCGCCCGCCGCCCCCGCGCGTCCATTCCCTTTTGTGTCCCGCGCGCGGCCCGGCCCCGCGCACACTCGCGCCCTGCGCCCCGGGGCCGGCGGGCGGCTCCCGGCGCGGCCCTGCTCCGCGCGCCCCGCTTTGTGTGGACGCGCCGGCCGGGTGCGCGCGGGCTGTCGTGCGCCCCCGGCCCCGTCCCGGCCCCGGCCCGGC